GAGACCCCCCTGCCTCTGCCTCCCAAGTGCTGGGATTAAAGGCATGCACCACCAAAGCCTGATGTTTTGTGTTTTTCAAGACAGGGTTTCTCTGTGTAGCTTTGGAGCCTATCCTGGCACTCGCTCTGGAGACCAGGCTGGCCTCAAACTCAGAGATCTGCCTGCCTCCTGAGTGCTGGGATTAAAGGCATGTGCCACCACTGTCCGGCTTATTTTCTTTTTTTAAACAACTTTTATTACGTGTGTGTGTGTGCGCGCGCGCGCACGTGTGTGTGTTTGAGCATGTGCACACATGCATGTGTGTCACATGCCATGGTGGACACGTGGCATTCATATGACAACTTAAGGGAGTTGGTTCTCTCCTTTACAGTGTGGTCCCAGGATTCAAGCTCAAGTCGTCAGGTTTCTTGGCAAGCTCCTTCACCTACTGAGCCATCTCATTGGCTCTGCATTTAAGCAGACAGCCCCAATTTACAGTGGTTCAACTTAAACAACTCTTTGTCTTAAGGATGGTGCAGAAGCGGCATGCATTAAATAGACATCATACCACTGCTTTTGAATTTGGACCCTTTCCCAGGCTAGCAATATGTGGTTTGGTTTTTCTTTCCAGGTACTGGGCAGCAGCCATTAGCCACAGCCCCAACTTAGCCATTTGATCACCAGGGGAAATATTCAACATGCTACATACGGCATACTGTGTTGTTAAAGTTGGATGCTCAGTAGTTCAAGGGTTCTAAATACATTTTCTTCTTAGGACATCTTTATCTCGGGATGTGTTAGTGGGGACACATCCTCCTCACAAGGCAAGACACATTGCACATCTCCCTTACAGTGTCCTCCCAACTGCTCTGTTATTCACCTAAGCCCACAGACTCAGAGTTTCCTGGACTGGGGGATAAAGGTTCCCAGGTGATGGTGACTGGCATCAGAGGACGGACTGTTGCCTAAGGATATTACATCATAACTGGCAGGAGCGTTCTTGGTACCTTGGGGTATTCTTGGAGCTGAAGCCTAAAAGTAGGCCTCAGACTGGTACTAAAAACAGCTAGTCTTTCTCTTAGTACTTGATGGGTGCTGTGCCAAACACATATTGTACCATTTCTTACTCTGACCTGTGTTCTACAAGGTAAATCTGCCGTCTCCATTTCACAGATAAGGAGCCTGAGGTTGGGGATAAAGTACTTTGTTCAAGACCACACAGCCAGGGCATAGTGGGGCCAAGACCTGGACCCAGGCAGGCCAGTCACAATGTCCGTACTCCTTACTCCTGCGTTTCATTGCTACCCCCTCCCAGGAGAATGGTTGCCTGCCCCACCATTGCTAGCCTGACAGTGGGACTCTTATCCACAGTGGCTCTTGGAAGAGTCTCCTAGCACAACTTCTTGCCTGGAATGTTGGTGTTTCCAAAGTAGGTGTGATTTCAGGGGGGTCATGAGGGCAGAAAGCAGAGTAAGCTGAGACCGGGGATGAGCACCTCAACACCTAGGCTGCATTGGGGGTTGGGGAGACATCTGTGTGTCTGTGCTGACCGCGTCTGTCTTTCCTCCCTCTGCACTGGACAAAGAGCCTCTTCTATTTCTCTCCATCTGACCTGTTTCCTCCTCTGGCTCTGGAATTCCTGGCTCCTCTGAGTACCTCCTCTTAAGCCCCATCTCTCCTCTCTCTGCCTCCGCTTGGTAAGAGGAAAGGGGGTTCTGGGGACTGGGCATGGGGAAACATCTCTTGGTTCTGGTGAATGGGTCCCACGGACCTTCTGCATTGGAAGAGAGAGGTCTATAGAAGGGTCTATATTATAGGTCTATAGAGAGGTCTATATTATACCCTAAGGAGATAATCCCCACCTGAGGTTCTCAGTCAGAGGCTCTTCCACCCATCAACAGGGTTGTTTTAAGATTGGTAAGTGAATTATAGTGAATGCACTCATGTAGCCAACATCTGATCAAGAACTAGACCATGTGGGGCTGGAGAGATGGCTCAGCAGTTATGAGCACTGGCTGCTCTTGCAGAGGACCTTGTTCAACTCCCAGCACCCACATGGCAGCTCACAACCATCTATAGTTCCATTTCCAGGGGATCCAGTGCCCTTTCTGACCTCTGCAGACACCAGACATGCACAGACATGCACACAGTGTAAACACACAGGCAAAATACTCTCACATAAAATAAAATATATAAACCTAACAAAATTATTTTTTAAAGAGCTAGACTACACCTGACGATTCTGGCCCTTGTCTTCCAGCCCTCTTTTAGTTGGGAGTGCATATTGTTGGCTGTCACAATGACCTCAGGGTTCTGCTGGCATTTAGAGAGCGGGGTCTAGGGGTGCTAAGTGTCCTGCAATGCATGGGGCAGTCCTATAGAACAAAGATTGCCCCCCCCCAGATGTCCTATTGAGAAATGGTATGGCAAAGACTTAGGGAGCCGGAGTTACAGCTGTATCAGTGGGTCAATGAGGAGAGGGTCTTTGCCACAATGTACTAACACTGTTACCATTTTTCAGGCCTCCGGAATGCTCCCCGCTGCTGGGCAGTGATCCAGCCCCTGCTATGCGCTGTCTACATGCCCAAGTGTGAGAATGACCGAGTGGAGCTGCCCAGCCGCACCCTCTGCCAGGCCACCCGAGGCCCCTGTGCCATTGTGGAGCGGGAGCGAGGATGGCCTGACTTCCTGCGTTGCACCCCTGACCACTTTCCCGAAGGCTGCCCAGTAAGTGCTCTATGGGGCCAGATAGGGTGGTCTAGCCTGGCACAGGGTGGCATTGAACTGAATGCAGGGGAGCCTGAGATGTCTCTCCTAGGAGACCCCCTATCTGTAGTCACAGGACCCATGAAACACAAACTCAAGCTGTAACCCGCTGTCTGGGTCTCTATGGAGGCCTCTGTTGACCCGAGGTAACGCGTTCAGCAAACAGTTCTTGAGTGTTCGCTGTTACAGTTGTGGTGTTAGCGGGGTTATGAGTGACAGGATCCCATCTTCAGGGATCCTTTTGTTACATGTAGGAGTCAGGGTAGACATATATGAAGCACTGGAAGCAGGAAGACAGGGGTGTGAGCTAGTGTGGGTTGGAAGAGACACCTGAAGTGATAACAGAATGATAGCGATAATACTAATTATCATTTTCTACATACAAATACCGTTATGGGACCTTTACCTAATCCTTAGGTCCTAACATGAGGTAGAGGCTACTCTCTCAGATATGGAAAATGAGATACAGAGTAGTCAAATAATTTGTTCAATTTGTAGAACCATTGAGCAGCAAATGGCCTCTAGCCAGCCTACCTGTCCTTGCTGGGTTTTCCCAAACAAGTCTCAACCCTGACTTACCTCTCCCCTTGGCGTTTCCTTCCTCCTTCCCTGTGCCAGAACGAGGTGCAGAACATCAAGTTCAACAGTTCAGGCCAATGTGAAGCGCCGTTGGTGCGGACAGACAACCCCAAGAGCTGGTATGAGGATGTGGAGGGCTGCGGGATCCAGTGCCAGAACCCGCTCTACACCGAGGCCGAACACCAGGACATGCACAGCTACATTGCTGCCTTCGGGGCCGTCACCGGCCTCTGCACACTCTTCACACTGGTGAGCCATGTTCCAGGGCAAGGGCACGGGACTTCTGATAGCCCAAGGTGCAGGGACTCTAAAACCAAGTGGCTTGGTAGATTATGGGGGCGTGTTGGGTTCAGGTCAGAGCATCTGCCGCAGAACAAACCCTCACTTCACTGCACGGCCACTTCTCCCTTTAGGCCACCTTTGTGGCTGACTGGCGGAACTCCAATCGCTACCCTGCGGTTATTCTCTTCTATGTCAATGCGTGTTTCTTCGTGGGCAGCATTGGCTGGCTGGCCCAGTTCATGGATGGTGCCCGCCGGGAGATTGTTTGCCGAGCAGATGGCACCATGAGATTTGGGGAGCCCACGTAAGTATCTTGGGGACCCAGAGTTGAAGATGGGAGGAGAAAGAAATCTTTTTTTGCACATCTCCCACAAAAGCAAGGGGTTGGACTTGAAGGCGACCAGTGGTAGCCCTGCCTTATTGTGTTCAGTGTTGAGATTTAGTCACTTCAAAGAGATGTGCCCTAGACCCTCTTCACATCTGGCCTGTGTCCTAAACTCCTGGGGACCCTCCGTGTTTTAGTAGACTAGGACCTGGGCACAGGGTAGAGCAACCTGTTAGAAGAGTACAACATGACCGCCTCAAGTGACATCCCACATCTTCACAGCTCCAGCGAGACCCTGTCCTGTGTCATCATCTTTGTCATCGTGTACTATGCCCTGATGGCTGGAGTGGTCTGGTTCGTGGTCCTCACCTATGCCTGGCACACTTCCTTCAAAGCCCTGGGCACCACCTACCAGCCTCTCTCAGGCAAAACCTCCTACTTTCACCTGCTCACATGGTCCCTCCCCTTTGTCCTCACTGTGGCAATCCTCGCTGTGGCTCAGGTATAGTGAGTGGTAGGGGGCTGGCTGAATGGGGTAAGCTTGGAGGACGGGCCATAACTAACCCTTCCCTCCATACCTTCCCGCCACAGGTAGATGGAGACTCCGTGAGTGGCATCTGTTTTGTGGGCTACAAGAACTACCGGTACCGTGCTGGGTTTGTCCTGGCCCCAATTGGCCTGGTGCTTATTGTGGGAGGCTACTTCCTCATCCGAGGTGAGTGACTCAGCCAGGGCCAGCCAGGGAACATGGTGCACTGAGCCCCTGCTCTGTGGAAGCAGAAATGGGAACTCCCAGTTCCGCTGCCTTCCATAACATGAGACCTTAGCCTTGGTGCTGTATAGACGACAACCCCCACTGGCAGAACAGCAGTTCTGTGTGGAAAGAAAAATGTACTTCTTCGTCCCAAACCATGACCAAGGTTGGGCTGGATTCCAGACCCTTTTATTTTTTGTCAGGGTGTACTTGTATGATGAACACCCTGGGACACCTGACTGGTCCCCTCAGATCATCTTGGGGCCATTGCTTATGTGTGCTCACACTACCTTGAAATATACTGCATGTTTTTGGAGCTTGGTTAACAAGTCATTTCATTCCCTAACATACACAAACAGTTTTCACAACATGTACAGATTTACTGGTCCCTAATTTCCCCGTCTCAATCTGCCACCCTGTGATTTGCCTTGGTTCCTAGCTCATTTTCCTTGGTTTTCCTTGTCAGTTTGGGTTTCCTCCCACTGAACTGTCAACCTTCTGTTCTGGCAGAGCATCCAAGCCTCTGCTGCATGTTCCGTGTCTGCGCCATCCATACGGTAGCCAGTAGCCAGGGATGTTGAAATGAGGCCAAACTGAGATGCTTTTTGAGTGTGAAAAACAGTGCATTTGAGACATGAAAAAGAGATGGGGGAAAAAACGAATACAAATTATATCACTAATAATTTGTTGTATGGAAAGTAGACGTGGTTCTATTTTGAATATATTTGGTTTATAAGATATAGTAAAATTAGTTTCTTCTTTAATGTGGCTACTAGAAAATTTGATATTTTCTATGTCTATCACACAACATATTTCTTTGGAGCAATGCCGTTTTTGTTTGCATCAGAAAGCTTTCATCTGGTTTCCTCTCTCTGTCCTTGGCTGTTTTCTAGGCTCGGCCACAGTTACCCCAGCCCATAGCATATTTGCCAACAACCATTCTCTTATTTTCTGCTTCCCAAGCTTTAAGTCAGGCAGGCATAATTAGTCGTGGGACTCCAGTGCTATGGGACCTTCCCCTACCCCTCCCAGGAGAGTGGCCTCTCCCTGGCTAACGCCTGAGCTGTCTTTCTGTTCAGGAGTCATGACTCTGTTCTCCATCAAGAGCAACCACCCTGGACTTCTGAGTGAGAAGGCCGCCAGCAAGATCAATGAAACCATGCTGCGCCTGGGTGAGTGGTGCCCAGGGAACATGGTTAGCTCAACGCTGAATCCTGCTGGGATCTCCAGGATGCAGAAAGACAGTGGGGAGAGCTAAGTATTCAGGGGACGGGGCTGGAGAGATAGTTCAGCGGTTAAGAGCACTGCTTACTTTTCCAGAGGTCCTGAGTTCAATTCTCAGCAACCATATGGTGGCTCACAACCATCTGCAATGAGATCCAGTGCCCTCTACTGGCCTGCAGGGATATACTGCCTGCAGGGATATACGCAAGCAGAATACTGTATACATAATAAATGCATAAATCTTAGAAAAAATTGTTAAAAAAAAAAAAGTATTCAGGGGACAAAGCCAGGGTGTAGGTGATAGTGGAGGTGACAAGTCCCTGTAAGAAGTGAGAGAATCCATGTTGGTGCCAAGACTATTTCCGTCCCTGTGCCCTGCTCCCACGGTTGCCTCCAGAAACTTCTAGATTTACTTTGGAAGACACAGTTCTTGACCTGAGCCCAGCATGTAGTCACCCTGGACTAGGCTGTCTCAGTACTCAGTGGGGGTGCTGCCCTCCTCTCTGGTGTTGCTACAGTGTCTGTTCTGGTAACCAGTCCTGCCCCTGGATTCCACAGGCATCTTTGGCTTCCTGGCTTTTGGCTTTGTGCTCATCACCTTCAGCTGCCACTTCTATGACTTCTTCAACCAGGCGGAGTGGGAGCGTAGCTTCCGGGACTATGTGCTGTGAGTGAGGGGCCCTGGGCTTGGTTGTGGGAGTGGCAGAATTGGAGCTCCAGCTATAAGGCAGCGTCCCACTCGCTTGTGATCTTCCAGGGTCAAGCCTCAGATTTGAACAGCTTTCAAACTGCTGTTCAGCCGCACATGTCTGGCTTCACCTCTGGGCAGGCTGTCCTGTGTGTTTGCAACTGTTCAAAAGCCAGCCCATGCTCTCTGGCTGTAGGAGTTCAGCTCTCTCTCATTCTGTGTGCCTTCTGCCCTCTGTGGCTCTTTCCGAGTTACTGAACCTTTGACGGTTCAGCAAACTGGTCGAGTTTGGTAGGTTTTCTTGAGCTTTTTTTTGTGTTCCAGTGAAGATGAGCTAGAGCAAGCAAGTCATCTCTAGTGCTAAAATGATGCCCGCTGCTCCTGGAGTTATGGTTAAAACTCCCCTTTAAAGGAGATACTTTAGGCCTGGAGCAATGGCTCTGCTTTGGGAGGGCTTGCCACTCTTCCATAGGACCCAAGTTCAAGTCCCAGTACCTATCTCTGGTGGCTTACAAATACCTGTAACTCCAGCTCCAGGAATCCAATACCCTCTCCTGGACTCTTCAGGCATCCGTATATAAGTGGTATACACACACAGGACATATACATATAGACACATAAATATAAATAAATCTAATTACTAAAATAGGGGGTAGGAACACTTGCCCTGACTCCTTCCGGCCCATTCTTAGTTTCTACCTTCCAGTCTGGTAGTCTGTACCCACAGTTATGCTGGATTCTTGTCCCAGAGGTTTGGTGTGAGGCTCAGACACCAGTAATTTATAAAAGCTCCCCAGATGATACCAAAGAATGTCATGGGGGATAGTGGCTTAGTTCAGTGGTAGAGTCTCGCATGCTTGCAGTCTGGGTTCCATCCCAAGCACTGACACACACAGACATACAGATAACACATCCAACCAGGGAGCACCATGAGAACCATGCTGGGCTCAGCTCCTTCCTAAATGGATTTACGTTTGGGTGCCTTCTTCCTGGATTCAGACAGCTGTTGGCCATCCCTCACCATAGGTGCCAGGCTAATGTGACCATTGGGTTGCCTACCAAGAAGCCCATTCCGGACTGTGAGATCAAGAATCGGCCCAGCCTCCTGGTGGAGAAGATCAATCTGTTTGCCATGTTTGGCACTGGCATTGCCATGAGCACCTGGGTCTGGACCAAGGCCACACTGCTCATCTGGAGGCGCACCTGGTGCAGGTGGGGTCAGCCTTCATCTTGTCTTTTCCTTCCTCTCTTACCCTCAGCCTCATGTCCTCACTTGAGGCCTTGTCTAATCCAAAACACAGACTGGGGTAGCTAGCTGTTTGCCAAAGCAGACACACCCCAGAGTTGTGTGGCTAACTTCTTAGCAGCTCACCACTGCCCTCTAGTGACAGTTCCTGTCCCCATGCGGCTTGGGCCTAAGCTGAGTCTGAAAGCCAGTGTTTTGCAAGGGGAGGGGGAGGCACAGGAGCCCTGCATTTTAGGTATGCTTTGTTGCAGCGAAGCCCTCAGCTCCTCAGAGTCCTCAGGACTCCAGGTCTTTAAACCTAGAATCCCAGGTCTTTCGATAGATTTGAAAGGAAGCAGCTGCCCCACCCTTTCTGTTCTCAGGCTGACTGGACAGAGTGACGATGAACCCAAAAGGATCAAAAAGAGCAAGATGATTGCCAAGGCCTTCTCTAAGCGGCGTGAACTGCTACAGAACCCGGGCCAGGAGCTCTCCTTCAGCATGCACACTGTCTCCCATGATGGACCTGTGGGTGAGCAAGCCTCTGTCTGTTCTCTCGCTAAGACACTTAACCTCCACAGTACAGGACCTATTCCCATCAAGGACACATGGACTGCTTGGCAAACTGAGTAATAAGGCGTTTCCGCTCACACTGTGCTCCAGTCTTACAAATGGGGTCCTCCCCGTTTCTTTCTTCTCCCTGCCTGTTCACTGCAATTGCTGTTCTCTGAGGACTCTGCTCCCTGTCCCTTCTTCTCGGCCATCTCCGGTGGCTTTTCTGGTCCAGAGTAGGTCAGGGTGCTGGGACTGAACTTATGGTCTCAAGGTATACCTTTTGGGGACCAGAGGTTGCTCCCCTTAGATTTTTGAATGGGCAGAGATCACTGGTTCCAGAGTGGACTCTGCCAGCTGCAGTGGGAGGGACTGGCTCCGAAAGATGAGTGATATCACACAAAGGAAGAGTCACTGTTCCTTTTTCCTTTCATTCCTAAAGCGGGTTTGGCTTTTGACCTCAATGAACCTTCTGCTGATGTCTCCTCCGCCTGGGCCCAGCATGTCACCAAAATGGTGGCTCGGAGAGGAGCCATACTGCCTCAGGATGTGTCTGTCACCCCTGTGGCAACTCCAGGTATGAGGGCTCTAGCTCATGCAGGAAGGGACAGGGCCTAGGAGCTCCTGGGACTAGATATATGGGGCTGCTAGACAGGCAGAAGGAAGGGAAGGCCCCAGAGGATCTGAAGGGGTGCCAAGGCTTGGGAGCCTAGAGTGATGGATGGGTCCCAGAGCTCAAGAATAGAGGTTCTGGGGAGGGAAGGGTGGCAAGGACAGAGTTAAAGCTCTAAGCCGTGTTCTTTTTCCTCCTGACAGTGCCACCAGAGGAACAAGCCAACCTGTGGCTGGTTGAGGCAGAGATCTCCCCAGAGCTAGAGAAGCGCTTGGGCCGGAAGAAGAAGCGGAGGAAGAGGAAGAAGGAGGTGTGCCCCCTGGGGCCAGCTCCGGAGCTTCGCCACCCCGGCCCCGGCCCCGGCCCTGCCACCAGCGCGGTTCCTCGGCTGCCTCAGTTGCCCCGGCAGAAGTGCCTGGTAGCTGCAAATGCTTGGGGAACAGGCGAGTCCTGCCGACAGGGAGCCTGGACTCTAGTCTCCAACCCCTTCTGTCCAGAGCCTAGTCCCCATCAAGACCCATTTCTCCCTAGTGCCTCAGCCCCTAGGGTCTGGGCTCAGGGACGCCTCCAGGTGCTGGGATCCATTCATTCCCGCACTAACCTAATGGAGGCCGAGCTCCTGGATGCAGACTCGGACTTTTGACAGGGGCAGGGTGGTGATGCTCAGGAGCTGGCCCCAGGGCAGGTCTTGGGACAGGAAAGATGAATGCACACTTTTCTATGGCTCTTCTTCCTAAGAGCAAGAGCACACCTCTGTGGTCTCATGTGACAGAGTCTATGGGCCAAGTGCCTCCTAGAAGAATTCTGTGTCTGGCTCAAAGCACCGGGCTGTGGGAACAAGCTGAATATAGCCATTGATAGGTCTCATGTCAGGGGCGGGGCTCCCCTTGTCTGCCCCACCCAATAGAGTCTGGCTGGCAGTGTCAGTGTCCAGCAGAGCTTGTACCAAGGCAGGAATGGCAGAGGCAGGGGTGACATTACCCAGAGTGGGCTGTGGTGGCCAGTGAAGTAACCAAGCCCACGTCTGGCAGATGAGGGCTGGCTGCCCTTTTCTGTGCCAATGAGTGCCCTTTTCTGGCGCTCTCAGACCAAAAGTGTTTGTTGTGTCATTTGTCCTTTGTCTAAGTGGGGACAGAACTCTCTTCTTCCTCTTCTGGGTAGTTGTGATGACCACTCCCAGAAGCGCTATAACTGCTCTCAACAGGTAGCCTACCCCAAACATATCCTGTTTTCCTGTGCTCTCTCCTTCACATGCACATCTCAGTTCCACCAGACCAACTGTTTCCTGCTTAGCACCCTAAAACTGCAACACACATACCACACACACACAACACACACACACCACACACACCACACACACCACACACACCACACACACCCACACACCACACACACACACACACACACACACACACACACACACACACACACCTTACTACTGAGCTCAGTCTCCAGGCGAGAGACTGGTTCTGCTCCAGGACTTCGAGAGACATGTTATTTCTTCTGTATGTCCATCCAGTGGGGATGGATCCTCTGACTTAAGGGGTTACATTGGGAAGCTTCTGTAGCTTCAGCTAGGCAAGAAAGCTTCTTCCAACTTCTGTATCTGCTGGGAGGGGGGACTCCCCACTTTTTTTTTTTTTTACAGTGTCTAGTCATGTTCATAGCACCCCACATTCAAGAACCAGACAGCAGGATGCCTTAGAAGCTGGCTGGGTTCCAGGTCAGGGGATCGGTATGAGAAGAAGAAACAAACAGTAAATAAAATGTTTTTGTATAAGCTCATGTGTGTTTCTTTGCCCCAGCCCCAGCTCTAGCCTATGGACCTGGTCCGGATCCTTCATGTGTTCCTGAGGCTTTTGTGACCAGTGGAGAACTTGGGGCTGATGAGGTTAGGGCTAAGTCAGACGTTGGGCTGATTTAGATTATTATGCTGACTGCCCTCTCCAACTACTTGGCTGTAAGTAGACAAAAGATCCTCTGTGGCCACAGCTGCGTCCCTAAGCACCGAATAAGAGAGTCAAGCACAGACAAGCAGCAGGCCTTTGGAGTGGCCATGGGAAGTGAGTGTTGCCCTGGTGGTGTACAGATGGGCACAGCTCCTGCCAATCCAGGTTCCACCATGGCAGAGGGTGGCATGCTCTGCCTTCTAGTAGAGATGTTAGGTAAGCACATTCTGATTTCACCAGTTGCTTTCTGGGCAGTCAAAGGAATTCAAAGTCAAGGGAAGCTTATTAGCTTTGCTTCTTCAAAAAATAAGCAGAAGGTTGGGAACAGCATTCAAGTGACCCTAGATTTTATAGCATCAGAAGGTCTGTGCAGAACAGGCAGTGGGACCCATAGACCTGAAGGATATTGTGAGGGCTGTGCAGTATTTGAGGGGTGTCCCCTACTTCAGCCACAAGTGTGATGGGGACACCAGGACTGACCAGGGCCAGATTCCAGGGAGAGGAGAAGAGCATGTTGGTTTTATCCTAGGTACCTTGTAGATATGTTACACCACTGACATCTAACATCAAATGTTCAATACTCAATACTCTTTGAGTAATGGCTCAATACTCTTTCCAAGTCCTCAAAGGATTCAGCTCATGGACTGTCACAGCCCTGCAAGGTTCTGTTATACCCCTCAAGACACTGAGGCACAAAAGGCTTAATGGGCTGCTCCAACCCATTCAGCTACTGGTAATGTTGGCATGCAGGCAGAGCCTTTGGTTTCATTGTGACAGGGATCCAACCAGAGGTGCACTTCACATGAGAACGAGCTCACAGCCAGGAAGGTGCAGATACTGGCCCAATATTTCTGATTCTCAAGTCCTGGCCCTTAGGACCCAGTGGAAATTCATTCCCCGTTGTGTTCCCTCAGGTCACCCATCCTCTGCACTAACAATGTCATGTTCATTCTTGCTATTTCATCTCTGTATAGAAATATGGCTTTGAAAGAAATCATTGACAGCATTTAAAACATTAACACTTGTCAGTGTTGTTTAATATTTCTGAAATAAGAAATTGTGCTACAATTTTCTTCATTTCCTATCCATTAACATTTAACTATTAAGTCTCCCTCCCTTCCTCCTTCCCTCCTTTCCTTAGAGGGATTGCTTGTGTAAAGGATGGAGTATTGCATTCAATCTGGGCCTTCAAAAAGCTGAGAAATCCATATGGCTGCAGTGACAGACTGTGAGCACTAGAGGACAGCACTAACTCAATTTTCTCCCCTGCACACCTGCATGCAGACTCAGCTGCCTCTGGATGCCCAGAAGTGTGACTCCCAAGCAATCAGAACCTTACAGGGTTTCTATAGGAGCAGCAGAAGTCACACTGAACAACGGTGACCACCATTATGTCTAAAAGTCTTGAATCTGATTCCTAAGGAAACACCTCTAGGTTCAAGAGGTGCTAATTTTGGCTCCCACTGTCCTGAGAACCATTTCACCAGCTCTGCCTCACCTGGGCCCTTGGGGTTTCCACACACTCAACCTCAGACTACCAGTTCCTACCCCTGTTGGTCCCAGCTTCCTTAAAGCAGAAGGCACTGTCCCAACCATTCCCCTGTCTACTTAAAAAGACAAGGAAAATCACAAAGAATAAATTAAAAACTTGTATTCCAGGGCTGGGGTGCTAGATCACTGATAAAAATCCCTGCCTCCCAAGCGTGAGAGCCAAGTTTGATACACAGAACCCATGTAAAAATTCCGGGAAAGGTCAGTTAGATGGCTTGGCAGGTAGCGGCTTGCTGACAAGTGAGAGTTTGACCCTGGAGCCCACAGGTTGCTGCGTGTGCACACACACACATTTTAATTATGTTTAGTGTGTGTGTGTGTGTGTGGTGTTCACGTGCCATGCATGAGAAAGAGGTCAGGGGATAGACAGCCTTCACGAGTCAGTTCTCTCCTTCACACTCCTTGAAAGGAACAGTCTGTATTTTTTTATTTCTTTTTAGTCTGTTTATTTTGAGACAAGGTCTCTGGTCTTTTGTTTGACAGGTTTCTCTGTGTAGGTTTCTCTGGCTGTCCTAGAACTAACTTTGTAGACCAGGCTGGCCTCGAACTCAGAGATCCTGAGTGCTGGGACTAAAGGCATGCACCACTATGTCTGGGGGTCTTGTTATGTAGCTTAGATTGGCCTGCAATTCTGTATACAGCTCACACTGGCCTCAAACTCTCAATTCTGCTTCAGCCTCCTGATACGTTGTTATTACAAGCAGGTACCTCCATACTTGGTTGTTTCTTATACTTTCTTATGTGCAGATGCAGTTATGTATCTACAGGCAATTTACATACTGCTTTGTGTTTGATTGGTCCTTTAGCTTTTTTACCTTTATTTATTATTTGCATGAAATGTAAAGAAAAGGGCATGTTCATCTGAAAAATTATTCCTTTTCCAGAACACCACAGCTGTCCAATGCATTGCATGCATTATGCCCAAATACACATTAAAATACTTGCAATGCATATAAGCTACCATTTTCAACATCCACGCAATAGCTAGAAAACATCTTTTCCATACAGGCATACACAAGCCTGTAATCTCAGCACACTTAGGAGGCAGAGGCAAGAGGACTTGCTGAAGTTTTGGGCCAGCCTAGTCTAAATGGTAAGTTCTAGGCCAGTCAGGCTGCACAGGAAGATCCCACCTCGACAAACAAACAGCTACAACAAAACTTTTCTAGTTAAAATTTTCTAATGAAAAAAATTCTGCTAGCAGTTTTTCACTTAAGAAATGCTTTTGTTTTCTGAATGTTTACTCCTTGAAACTGTAAGCTCCTTCACAAACACAGTATTGTAAGTCTCCAGGCATATTAGTGATTTGGTGGTAGTGGGGCAGTCCATTTGCTTAGGCAGACTTTAAACTCTGTGTAGCCCAGGCCAGCATTAAACTCACGGTCCTTCTTCCTGGTCAGCCTCCTGAGCATTAGGATATATGTGTGTACTGCCAGTTGTTTTATTATTTTAAAAACTATTAGCCCCTACCTCTTTTCTTGTGCTGCTGGAGATGGAGCCCAGGGCCTCAGCGAGTACTGGGGGAGCACTCTACCCCTGAGCTGTATTCCCAGTTCCTTATCTTGCTTTCATGTTAGAGGTTGGCTTCGTGTGTCTGGTGACTTTGGCTGTCTGCTCATAGTGTGGCACCAGATGTTTTCACAGAGTATGACCGTCACTGTGTGGGAGCCAGGTAGTCTATTTCCTTGGAGAATTCTTCAGCATCAGTGTTTTCATTTTCTCTCTTGAACCTATCGGATGCCTTATGGAAGATTATTACTATCTTCCAGAATTCTTGAAGCCGAATGAACCAGCTGAAGAAAAAAGACCTGTAGGCTTAAAAGTTCCCTAAATCGTTAATAGACTTGCACATAATCATCCAGCTTTTGGTCTAGGAATTCCACCTTCACCTATGCTTGGTTTGCCTCAGCAACAAACCTCTGCCACAGAAACAGCAGCTGGATAGGATGGAGCTGAAAAGGTGAATATGATCAGATTGTTGGTTCTAAGTAATGGTGAGATCTGGATAAACAGAGACTACATATCTGCCTCTTTCCAGGCTCAAACGCCTTATGTTTCATCACCACATCCCACTGAAGGTGAGTTCTTCCACTCAGTAATCAATTCTAGTGGCCAGCTAGGTAGGCAGCTGCTGGGTACGAGTTCCTCGTGTGCCAGGTGGTTGTGCTGAAGCTCCCTTGTGCATTAGGGGGAAGAAAGAAATCAGTTCTAGAGTTGTTAGCCTTTGCCCAACAGCTGGAGGACGAAATTCTCGGCCACTTCTTCAAAACAGGAAGGAAGTAATCAAAGCCAGACATGTGAGGAGAAAGCTGAATATGCTCTTGTGTCTAGCAGATTTTGGGGGTTTTGTGGAAATGGCAGTGCTCAGGTGCCTTCCAGCACAAATTTGGAGACCAGAAAATGAAAGCTTCCAAAGCTACCAAATGAAGAGACTTCCAAGGTGATTTCTCCCTTTGTCTCCTTCTTGCTCAGAAAAAAGCAGCTTCTCCAGTGACTAGCTGCCCAGCAGCCCACTTGAGTTTCAGGGCTGTTGTCAATTTCTAAACAGCCACAAACTGTGTGATCCTCTTTGCCTCAGTTTAAGAATAATAATAATAATAAACCCTACCATATAATACATCATAAAAGTTGACCATGGGGACTGAAGAGATGGCTCAGCAGTTAAGAGCACTGGCTGCTCTTCCAGGGGACCTGGGTTCAATGCCCAGCACCTACATGGCAGCTCACAACTGTCTGTAACTCCAGTTCCAGAGTACCTGACACAGATATATATATTCAGGCAAAACACCAATGCACATAAAAAAGTCAACTATATTTTAATGCATTTTCCCTTTAGGTTAATATTCACATAAAATCTCAAAGAATGTGCAATTTAAAATAGATTTAAATGTGTGTATGTGTGTTGCCAGAAGAGGGTGTCAGATCACCTGGAGCTGGAGTTACAAGTGTCTGTGAACTTCCCAGCGTGCTGGTTGGGAACAGATGCCAGCAATGGTGCATAAGTTCTGAACCAGCTCTCTAACCCCTAGAATGTATAGTATTGTCTCCTGCTTGTTAGTCTAATTTGTTTGTTTTTTGAGACACAGTTTCTTTGTGCAGTTCTCTCCTAGAACTTGCTCTGCAGACCAGGTTGGCCTTGAACTCAGATCCTTCTGCCTCTGCCTTCCAAGTAGGGATTAAAGACATGGGCCACTGTGCCCAGCTTTTAGTCTAATTTTTTGTCATAAACATTTATTTCCCTTTATCATTAAAATATTGTCAGAAAACATTTTTTTAAAAA